GCTGGACGAGCGTACGGTGTCCTGTTCCGGTTCAGATTGGGCCTCGACAGAATTGGTCCCCTTGACGCTTGTTGTTTCTTATGCTGTTCCGCCTCAGCCATATTTTTCTCTAACACTTTGGCCCTTTCCACCATGGCTGGGAATGACCGAATGCACAAGCTAGAAATCAACACCTTCAGATCACTTCTCAACCCATTTTCAAACTTTCTACACTGCCATTCTTCACTGGTCGCCATAGTGTTAAATCTCACCAAGTGCTTGAATTTATTCGTATATTCTGAAACTGACATTTCCCCTTGCACCAGTTGTAAAAATTCCACTTCTTTAGCAAAACGGACGCTATCCGGAAAGTACTCTTCATAAAATTTACCTCTGAAAACTTCCCAAGTGACAGGATTGTGAGCGTACGTCAATAATGCCTTCACGCTCGCCCACCAGTGGCTCGCTTCCCCAGTCAGAAGGTACTCTGTGAAGGCCAAGCGATTCTCGTCAGGGCACCTTTTGGCATTAAAAATTCTCTCCATATCCCTCAGCCACTGATCTGCCTCATCAGGGAGGCATTTCCCACTGAATTTAGCCGGATGATGTTGAAGAAAGCTCTCCAAACTCCATTCGGTATGATGTACAGCATTTGAAGAGGACGCTCCTGGCGTGCCCCTGGTGGCAGCAATAAGTTCCATTAGCTGCCTCTGCGTGGCTTAAGAATTGATGCGTGCAGCCTCCAAACTCTGTAGAGCAGCAGCGTTTTGCTCCATTAATGTAGCGTTTTGTTGTTGCAGCCTTTCAATTACAGATTCCAGCAACCTAGTGTTGTTGGATGCGTCAGGTTCATTAGGTTGCGGTGGAGGAGGTAATCTAGGCGCCATCGTTTTCTGGACCAGAGAAAACGAACGTTAGAAATGTCTAAGAGTTAAAACAGTAACTCATTAAACATACAATAAGCACACAGCAAAACGCAATGCACACATAACCTACAGCGTCCTTAATAGAACAAAACTGCTCTGATACCAATAATGTAACATCCCAAAATTATACAGTCATCAACCATATACTTAGAATAATTACACGTATCAATAACTCAAAACAGTTTTAAAAGAGAAGGAAACAGATTTAAATAAATGGCAGAACGGCCTTTCATATAAATTAACGAGCGTTTACAAAAGAAATGAGGACGAACGGTTTACAAAGACTGACAGAACGTCCAAATATGTACATCTACAAAAGAAAGACGCTCGCTCACAGCCGCTCGATACCCTATTTACACTGACTAAAACCGAACGTATTCATGGTTCGGCCTTCACCTCAACTTCCACCAAGTTTTCTTCAGCAATGATCTCCTCCTCAAGTGTTCGCTCCAAAGATGCATCTCCCTCTGCTCACATCCACACGGATGATCATTGCATTTGACAAGACGGATATACATAGACAAGACAACACAATGGAAAATGCAAGGGTAAGCTTATTGAATTTAATTTAAGTCAAACATACAGTTCATGCTTATCAATT